TATGCCCATGTGTGTTCATAAAGAAGTCATATTCTGAATTTGCAATCGTTGCAGTTTAAGTCGATGACATGAATCTCATTGGGACTCCCGCAAAGCTTGAGGAAATTGTTGCACACTTGAAATTGGAATTTGAGATGAAGGATCTTGGGAAAACTCGATATTGCCTCGGCCTAGAGATCAAGCATTGTTCGGATGGAATCCTAGTACATCAATCGAACTACACCCAAAAGGTGTTGCATTGTTTTAATGAGGATAAAGCGAAACCTTCGAGTACACTGATGATCGTTTAGACTCTAGATGCTCAATGAGATCCCTTCCATCCAAAGGAGGATGAGGAAGAGATTTTGGAACTCGAAGTTCATTACCTAAGTGCAATTGGGGCTTTATTGTACTTCGCTTAATGCACTAAACCTGACATCTCGTTCGCTATGAATCTATTGGCAAGATATAACAATGCGCCCACACGCAGGCACTGGAATGGTATTAAAGACATTTTTCACTACCTCAAAGGTACAACAGATTTGGGGTTGTTCTATACCCGCGAATCTCCAAATATTGCCGCCCCCTATGGTACTCGGATTGATTTTCGCCTTATTGGTTAGGCAGATGCTGGATATCTTTCTGACCCACATAGAGCACATTCTTAAATAGGTTATGTCTTTACTATTGGAGACACCACTATATCTTGGAGGTCCACCAAGAAAACACTAGTTGCAACTTCGTCTAACCATGCTGAGATTCTCACCCTACCTGAAGCATCGCATGAGTGTTTTTGGCTGAGAGAAGTTATGGGACATATTCGAAGCACTAGTGGTCTTACATCAGTCGTTGACCTTCCTACGACGATCTTTGAAGACAATGCAACATGTATTGAGCAGTTGAAGAAGGGATACATCAAGGGAGACAACACCAAGCATATAGCACCGAAGTTCTTTTACTCACACCAGCAGTAGCAGCATCAGAACATTGAAGTCAAGCAAATCCGTTCCCAGGACAACCTGGCTAATCTCTTCACCAAGTTGTTGCCCAAGTTTACTTTTAAGAAGCTTGTCCAAGGAATCAGTATGCGTAAATTATCTGAGTTGAATCGTTTGTAGTTCTCTTATTTAAAAGTTATGTCTAACTCAGGGGGAGTATCTAGAAGCATACTCACATAATCTTAATGTACTCTTTTTCCCACTAGGTTTTTGCTACCTAACGAGGTTTTAATAAGGCACCCATCTTGGGATGATCGTACTCCGTTGAGTTCTCTACCTTTATCCAGTTTGACGTTTGTTTAAAGACATTATGCATACTTCTCACTTTTCTCTTTAATCTATCGGTTTTCCCCATGCCTTGGGTTTTACCATAACGAGGTTTTGTGAGTTTTACTACAAATGCATACTTCGATTAAATTTTAGACTCGTGATCACCCGTTGTGCCGATGACTTCATCAACTATTCTACCTTATCTACTGAAGATCTGATGGGATAGTTTGTTGAGTATTAACACACTCAAGGGGGAGTGTTGCAGTCATATTTAGAATAGGAATGTGATTGTGTAAATCCTAGGAGATATGGGAAAGTATCTTATATTCTTATTAGGACTAGATTACCTATTAAATGTTGTAATCCTAAAGGGAAAGGTTTTTACCTATCCTACTACTATAAATAAAGGCACAATGGGGTGAATCAAACACACCTCACAATTAAATCAATCTCTCTTCTCTCTTATTGTGGCCTGCTTCCCTCTCTCTCTCTCTCTCTAAACCCTAGATCATTCAATCAAATAGGCCACAATAGGTACATTATTTTCCTGCTATAATTTTGTGAAGAACAATATTACTCTAATATTTATTTTGAAGTATTTATTATATTTTAAAAATATATTTTAGTTTGTTTAAATTTCATAATTTGTGGGACAATAAATGCATAAATGCATGAGTTAAATCTCTTAAATGATGTTAATGACCTCAATCAAAATATTAAACAAACAAGATTTTAGTCAAACAATTAGGTTGATTAAGGACGGGAACCAAAATGACCCTAATACTAAAAATGAACTAGCAACTGCTAATTAAGAAAACACTATTTGAATTCAAGCAGTCTACATTTTTTTTAAATAATTTGAAAACTTGGTTATATATGGGTCCCAACAGTTCCAAATGAAAGCTTGGTTAAACTCTATGCATCAACTCTCTCCATGATTTTTTTCCACCTTATGGTAATTCTCTGTTATTTCACGATGCATTTATTTTCACATTCCAAAATCTTTCCAAAGTCTTTGTTATTTTACATTCAACATATAAAGATTGGTCTCCACGCCACCTCTTAAGATATACATTGGTGATCTTCTTCAAACATTCGTTAAACCGCGTGTATTGGGGAAGATTATTTTCTGCATGGATCGATGGCCTTGAACATTTATTGTGTAATATTATATGAAATCTCAGAAGGCTTGAAAGTCAATATATTACCGAAAAGGAAGTTTCAATATATATCACAGAGAAACTTCGGAAGATAAGAATGGAGGGAAAATATTAACAGATATTCCCCATACAATTTGAATCTCCACATATATATTAAATTATATAAAGATGTCGACCTTGTCAGAAATTTGTTTTCCTTTTCGAGGATTTTTTCCGAACCCCCAACGCTTCTCAGCTCATCAGACAACTCGGTCAGCATTCAGGATGTATATAGAAAAAAAACGGAGTTACAATTAATACAAATAGCTGCGTTTACATTTGCAGTTACGTGGAAACGAAACTGCTAGATACGAGCCCGGTGTCTATAAATACATTTCCAACATATTCAATGCAAAAGCCACAACTTGATCTCCTCCTTCGTATACCTTCTGTAAACAAGTTTAATCAAGTTTACCATTAGCAGCTATGTCTTCTAGTAAGAAATTTGATGCAGCAACGGTCATTTATCCTGGCACGAAACGCGGTTCGTCGTCCCATTCTCAGAGTGGTGGAGGTCCGAATCCACCAAAGGCTCAGGGTGCTCTAGCAAGGGACAAGAAGAAATCTGGGTAAAGCTGCCGAAAAATCATATATGCATGGCTGCTACAAAAATTTCTTCAAGATAAATAAGCACATTATTTTCTTAGGTTCAATTAGTATTATTTTATTGTGAAAATGGGTGGATTTGCTAAGAACAAATCCCACTTAGGATGTAACAGAAGAAATAAATTAGTATATTCTTTTATTTTGTTCCACAGTTGATGTTTCTTAATTGATTATTTTTAAGAATCTAGTAATTCATGAATATTCTCATTGATGATGTTTATACCACATTTTAATTTTGAGACTCGACTATCCAACAGGAAAATATCAAATATGTAAATGAATTATGAAATGCATTCAGCATGTGAATCGCATTTAACAATATGTAAAATAAAAACAAAATAAATTTTACTTTTTTATTTAAAAACGATACAAATAATTTAAATTCAGAATGCAATAATCTGATGATAAACGCTTTCCCCATAAATATAAATTTTTTGCATGGCATCCTGGTTCTCGTTCGGCTGCCAATACATTTTTCTGTACCTGTAAAAATACACAGGAGCAGGAAGTAAGAAAAATAAAATAAAAAAAATAAAAAAAAAATAAAAATAAAAAAAAAAACTAAAAGCCGAAAGTACAGAATACGTGGCGCAACTCCCGATGCGTTTAGAACTTCCCACCAACACATCATCCCTTCCGTTCCCTTTAACTCTGTCATAACAACGATCTTTACTTTCTGCCACCAAATCCAACCCCTTCACATCCACGCCGTTATTCTCATACCGCTCAAGCCTCTCTCTCCTCTTTCTCTCTCAGCTTTAGGCGGAAGAAGATGAAGGCCTCCCTCGCAATGTGAACCCTAAAAGGAACGAAACGGTAATTTTCAGCGACTTTTCCTTTCTCTTTCGTTCGCTCCAGCAGTTTGGAAATCCTAGGTTTTTTTCTGCAATTTATATTTCCATTATTGAACTTTAATGCTTATTTTTCCTAAGGTTTCTTCAATTTTATGATTTTTAAGAATAATTGAATTTTGTTTCTTTTTTTTTTTTTTTGTCTTTTTTTTTTTTTTTTTTTTGTATGTAGTTGTTAGGTTACTGATTACTTTAGTTTGCTCTTAACTCTCTTTTTTTTCTTTGTTCATGATTTTTGTTTTGGTTTTTGAATTGCAAATTTAGGGGAGTGGTTGGTTTAGATGTTAATTTTGCGGACTTAGTTTGCTTCGTAGTATAATATGTAGAAACGCATCATGTTAGTCTGGAAGCAATAATGTGCAGAGTATTTCCTTAAAAGGTGACATACAATGGAAGAAACCGAATAATTGTTCCATTAATTGAATACAACAGATGATGTCGCAGTAATTAGATACAGGTAATTATGATGTAGTGTTGATTTTCCCTTGCCTTTCGTAAGGATGAGCTGTTCTTGGATTCTCTACTTAGAAGATTAGGTTGCGGCTATTAAACATGAAGGACAGACTAAATCTTGTTTATTTTCTGTCTTCCAGAAGAGTGAAATTTTGGCTCACAGTGAGGGCGTATGCTATCTGGACGATCATGGGGTCAGTTTTCTGCTTTACATATCATCAAAATAAGATAAAGAAAGCTCAAATGTACAATTTTCTTCTGTCAAAATAGAAATTCTGGACGTGTCTTTGTTTTATGGATCGATAGTGTTTGTCTTAACAGAACATTTATCTTAAATTTTGAGGACATATTTCTTCTATTTTCTTTTATTTTGAGCACATGTTAAGAAAGGACATTGATAACCTGCAGTTCCTTGTTTTACAATTATTTGTCCAGTGGAAAATTGGTAGCCCTCACGATGAGGTCTTTGGATGCTTGCTTGTGATGTTTTGCGCATGCACACACTTATCAGACATACTTCCATTTTATGTTAGGTAGTCACATAAATTTAATCGTTGGATTGCTGGCATTTGTTGCTTCGTTTGTTTGTGATTTATTGACCTGAGTATGTGCATTTTACAGATATATTCATTGCAAGAAATTAT